AATGCTTCCCACAGAACCTTTAAACCTGGGTTAATTCACAGACCCTATTTGGACTCTACACAATCCTGCAGAATGCCCAGTTTGAGCAGATAAAACAGTACCTTGACTAGTGCTGCCATCTGCTGGTGGAATTTTCAGGCCACGTCGGTCTGAACAATAATAATAATAATAAACAACTTTCTTTTATATAGCGCCTTTAAAGGTGGCTGCTCAAAGAGCTTTAGAGAACCTCAACAACTATAAAAAAAAAATGCTCATTGAGAATACAGAATGAGAGAAGACGGCAGATGGGGGTCAAGAACAGAACCAGTTAAGTAAAAGCTCTCCTTGAGAAGGTTTTCAGCCTAGATTTGAAGGAATTTAGTTGATTCTCTGATTCCCTTGGGAAGAGAATTCCAGAGCTTGGGGTCATAAAAGGAGAAGGCCCTGTCACCTATAGTGTAGACGGACTTGGGGGACAGACAGGAGACCAGAAATAGAAGAGCGAAGGTCGCGAGGTGGGGAGCAGGGCTAGAGTAGCTCAGACAGGTACTGAGGTGCCAAGCCATGCAGAGCCTTATAGGCGAGTCTGAAAGGGCTTTCCTGAGTTTCATTAACTGAAACATAGCTGATGATAAAGCACGCTCACAACAAGCACGAGTTGAAGCAAGCCTGTTCCCCTTCTCTGAAGTTTAGGAATTCCTCCTGTTCTCTGCGATGGGATACAAGTCCTTTTCCAGGCTCCAGGAAGGAGTAATTGCTTAATTAATCATTTTTAATTTCACAAGTCACAAGAACAATTTCTGTAGGTCACAGACCTCCAGATACTTGCAAGGCTTCTTATCATTTTTTAATTAAAGGCTGAGAACCATGAAAAAGGTTAACTGCACTGCTGAATAGTGCGATTAGAAATGAATTTCAGTTTTTATAGAAAACTGAGATGCAGCAAAGAAACAGAAGATATGGCAATGGAGTGCCCCAAACGAGGTTTGACAATCTCTGCTGGAAAGGGAAGAGTTTTATTGTTTAAGGAAACTTATAACATCGCATCTGACCTTGCATACATTACCCAATACTTAAAATACCAGGTATTACAATACATTCGGACAGAAGGTTTTAGGATGACACACTCTTTAATTATTTGATTGATCACTAATTTACTCCTTAGCAGATATTACAAATAAACTGCACTGAATTGCTGGTACTCGAGTAACTTTGCTACACTGAGATTCTTTCATACAGGTATTCTGTATGGTCTCTAAAGAATAATGAATCTGGTAATAATCTATTACTTCAATCAATAAGGACCTGGGTCAGGAAAACAGACAGATATGTGTTAAAATATTTATTTAAAATAGTCTATGCTGATATATTAAAGGTCAATAAAATACAATAATGATGACAAATTAGAAAATAAAATGTAATTCCAATTGTTTTCTCTGTAATTTAAAACAGTACTTCAATTAAGCTTTATAATGAAAAAGACAATTAGAACTTGTCCCATAGTTAGGCCATGTATCTTTTTTACATTTTTTACCTATATTCACTTTGGCCATTTCGTTACAGCTTCTTCGGAACCTGACACAACCTTGCTGGCATTCACCTTCCCACACTTAAACTGAACCATCCTGTCCAGATCACTGTCACACAAAACATTCAGTTTTAAGTTTAAATCTATTACATGGATCGCAACAAATGTGAGCTTTCATACACACGCAGTCTAATCAAGATTCTTAACAGCAATCTCAATGACTGACACTGCCTGTCATCAACGAAAACATCTCCTAACACTGCATTACACTGTCAGTTTTCAAAAGTCAGCAAATTTAATACCCCCGTTAGTCAAGCAAAATATATTTGTTGTCTCCTAAACAGACAATTCACTTTCCTTCTTAAGGTATGGTAGAATTACCTTACCCTATGGATTTAAGTCATTTAAAATTTCATAATGGCATTAAAAATTATAACTTATTTTTGTTCTTAACAAGTCCACTTGTGACTGATGGGTGAAAACACCAAAAATGAAAAAGAAGGGTAAGAAATTAAAGAGAAATTAAAAGTTTTTTATATCAAACAAAAAATAGGAAAATAAAAAATTCAAAAAATAACATCTTGCCCAGGACAAAAGAAACGGCCCTATAGAAAATAAAGAATGGTGATAAGTTCTCTTTAAAACACAAAATACGTCTCTCTAAGGTTGTGAAAAAAGAAGTACTATATTAGCACCACCATAAAAAACCCAGATGTCACAGGTTAACTTTCTGGCTCAAAATAAGGTACAATGGGACAAAAGATTTAAACTGCGTAATGAAAATCATCGTAGTCTATTAAAAGCATAAGCCTTATACTGGTTATTCACACAGTATCCTGAGTGCATTGCTTATGAAGACTTTCATAACAGAGTAAAAGACGGAAAATGAACCATCTGAACCTTCTCTCTGCCTTCTGTTCTGTAGAACAGAAACAAGGGCCAGTGGTGGAGTGTGAATTAACTGAGCAGAATAACAGGGAGCAAAGACTTTTACATCCAGTAATACTAGCTGGTCTGAATGCGTGACTTATAATATCCCCATGAACAAAACAGAAAAAAACAGCTGGGACAGGGCTACTTGCATAAAGTAAAGTAACTCCTGTTCTTTAGCATGGCAAATACTTATAGAGGACAGGAGCAATACAAGCAACACCCTTTTGAGATTCCCCATACTTAATGAAGTTTTCAAATTTAGAGAAATACTAAACTGCATCTACATTGATACTTTATTTACGATGATGATATCAAAAGGGTTCAATACAGAAAGGAGCCGAATCTAAGCACAAATTTTTAAATCAATGGTCTGACTCTGCGACAAGTGCTACAGTGACAAACAAGCCACCAACTAAAGTAGCATTTACATTTAATTACTTCTTCCCTGCAACTACACATTTCAAATGTGGATATCGAAATGAATTAAACAAAGCACTATTGCACCAAACTGACCTTCCCAGAGGTCATCCTTGCACTACAAGCAAATGTGGAGTCATTTTGCTGCTTAGAATCAAATTCAGTCTGATAAACTGACAATCTGAAGTGGCATCTGAAAAGTAAACACATCTTACCGTTACTAAAATAAATCTGCTACAGTTTGCCGTCAACGCTGCAAACCTGATCAATGAAAGTTGAATGAATTTTTGGCAAGGAGTGCCATCTATTGAATGGAAAAACAAAGTGACTAAAATGTTTTCAAGGTCGAGGTCAAAAGTGTTAAGTGAAGGTCTTCCCTCCTTAGCCTTGCCTGCAGATGCTTACAACTCGGGGAAGGACAGACTTGTAATATGGAAAAAATATATACTGTATATTGAGGGCAAAAAAGAAAAAAAAAAACTTATCTTAAGTGCTATGAAAAGCTCCGCAACTTCTTTTATGCCTGTTATTGAAGACTTTCAGAATCACCAAGATGACAATTACATTGTAAACAGATCACTTACACATCAATAAAATATTCTTAAATAAAATGGCACTCTCGGTATTAAACTGCAGTCTAAAAAAATACTGAAATCTTTATGGCAACAAAATCTCCACACTCATATCACATCATGATTCCAAAAACACAGGACAGAAAACCAAATCACTCAACGCAAGATGCAGAGAGAAGGGCCTTGAGAGATTTCCACTCTATTGGCTATCAAAGTATTTTTTGTGATATGTAGGCAGTGGAAATCATACAGAACAATCCACATAAGTACCTTATGACTGGCTAACAAACACAAAATACACGTTGCAGAAGGAAACAAAGTCTGAGAAGAGTGTCAGTGGGGCAAAAAGGCCTGAAAATTGTGGAGGAGCCCAGCTTTAGGTGTCACTGTAACACAGAGGCAACAGAAGAGGTTATTATCTGGGAAACATCCTGGGCCATCACTATGTGCCCATAGTTTTTCTCAGGAGTGGATGGGTTCTGCCCTGAACATCTAAGCCCTCGCTGGGGGTTGTGCCAAGGCTCTTTTCCGTAGTGTTTGAGGTAGGATCGGAGTGATTCACAAAGCCAGCATCCACAGCAGTCCTCACGCTTTCCTGCGTCTTGTAATACACCAGGTAAAATATGGGCAGGATGATGCCTATCAGAAGCATGACCAACACAGCGTTCCACCACCGGATGCCCCAGTCTGCCCCGTAGCTCGCTGGCGCCTGCCTGCCCGCGGCTCGGGGCGGCCCTCCGTGGTCGTCCGCGGGGCACGGGCCCAGGCCGTCGCTGGTCTGGATCAGCCTCTCCAGGTCCTGGTCCACTTCTCTGAGGAAGTCAGTGCACTCCCGGGCATCGGGACTGGCAGCGCTGTGCGCAGCTGGGGGGGGGGAGGGCGAGGGCAGGGGACAAGGAGCCCTGGAGGCGCAAGGCGGCGCTTCACCCAGCTCCGCGCTGCACTCCGTGAAAAGGCCATGCTTCTTGACGGGGATTCGAATGGACTTCAAAGCGTAAAAGTCTTGCTCCCGAATTAGGTTGTTCACTCGTTTTATGTCGGCCACCTGCATTTCGAAACAAAAACAATAAAGCCATCTTTTTGTGTTCATACTCATGTTAAAACGTAGCTTGCTCATCACCTTTTGCACTCCTAAACATCTTCTCCCACGGCTGAAGGAGGGAAAGAAATACTCCCCTGCAGAGCTCCTCCTCCT